CAGGGCTCAAAGTGAAGTTTCGTGCCCTCCAATGAACTTCTTCGGTTGCTTGTAAATGGTCTGAGCAAAAAACACTCCTACTCGTCCCCCCAAAATAATGCTAGATGAGTTTCTGAGAAATGCTGGATACCAATCAATAAACAAGACTCGTGTCCTTGGTAATTGAAATTACCGGCTTGAAGTGCATTTGGGTCTTGCCAGCCAAGCGAGTCTTCGCAGCTTGCACCTCCCGATGCGAGCAGGAATGGGCGCAGGAGCGGTAGCTACACTCCCACCTGTTTTTCTAGTTCTTTGTTGCGACGTCGTACCTCTGCAAAGTCATGGATTCCAAGCTCGCTTCCCGTGTGGTGTCCTGCCTCGCCGAGCTTTTGCTTCAAGACGTGTTCGGACGCAACGGTATTCACTATCCTTGCAATCTTGCAACTCTAAACTCTGCGCTCTCCTCTCTTCTCCAGTGCTTGCAGTCTTGACTGAAGAAACCGACGAAACCAGCTGGATGCAGGGGTTTGGCTTGCGACCCGGAAGCTCGTCGTCTTCGGCCACATGGCATGGCCTGGCCTGGAAAACTAGCATCAAACTTTGTCAAGAATAGCTGACGAACGAATCTGTGTGCACCTGCGCCTGCACTGCCGCGACTTTTTGCAGGTTTGCGTGCGCAGCCTTTGCATTCAGGGATGCACATTACCTGAACTCTGCGTTGTGAACCTTGCTCAGTTGGTGCCTCGTCCTGATCCAAGTCGAAGGCCTGTACCATGAGGCATCCACCATGCAGACGAGCATTGACCCATCAGATAATCTGGTGCTCTAAATTTGCGCGGGCGGATTCTACCACTTGTGCCCAGCAATTGCCCACCTTGGACTGCTCCCGCAAAGCATGTGCAAGATGTACTGCCTCAGGCGGTCACGGAGGAAGCTCTATAGTATTCGACGGAAGGCGACAGGCTGCCTTGACGACTTTGCAGGGCAGGGGTCTGGCTGAATGCGGGCGGCCCGAGTTCGCTCGGGGAAGCCGCATAACACAATCATCTGCAAGCTTTGGCAAGCACACGAACTGGGTGAGATGTGATGGTGGAGCGCACGTAGTTCCACTGACCCAGTGTTTTGTCTCTGATCATGCAGCTCGCGCCATTCAGTTGTGATCTTGTCCTTCTTATGCTTGGCAACAGTGTGTTTCTGGCCATTGATACTTTCGAGTTTTCAGTTTCTATCTTCCTGGTCATGTAACTTGGGCATCTTCGCTTGTGCAAAGGGTGAAGGAGCTGAGTGGTGGGTGTAGGAGGGAGGGAAGGAGGGGTAGGATGGAGTGGGATGGGCTGAGTCGGGGGGGTGAGTTAGATGTTGTGTTTGGAAGCGTGGTCTGCGCGAAGCAGCAGCCCACACAGTCCGTGGCCGACGTGCCCGAGCATCAAGAGATCGACTCCGAGGACGCGGGCCTCAAGGATGGCCACCCGGGAAAGGTCCTGAGCTGTGACGGGGACCTCGTGATTGCGTCAACAACCCGCAAAACTTCTTGACGGAGGAGAGCAGGGGATGAGAAGAGGGGGGTAGTGACCGAACATGACCGAGTGCAGGATGCAACGTGAAACAACCCGGACTACCTGAAGAAAGCCAGGATCGGGACTGTAGCGGCTGCATCGCCTGCCGACTTGCAAGCGGCACGGGCCTGGATCAGCTTGCCTGCAGCTCGGCACATGCCACGGCACTCGCCACCAACTTTTCACATGTACATGCTTGCAAGTCCGCACTGCTGCATATTGCCTTCCAAACGTGCGACCTCCTCCTCTTCAAAGCCGACACGCTGCCGCAATCTGCAGTGAACACCGTCAAGCTACCACCAACAGAACAAAACAGGTCACTCCGCAACTCACTGAGGCAAAGTCTGCAGCATTTCCTGGTCGATGGCCAGTGCAGTGAATCCATAGTTGCCAGCACTGAATGGTGCGTAATCCCAATATCGATCGGTCAAATCGGAAAGTTCATTGGCAGCAACTTTTTCTGCTGCTTCCAGCCGTGCAGCTTCAGCAAGCTGGTATTTGAGCGCTAAGGAATACTCATCTCCTGCCTTGTGTTCATTGCTCATTTCAGCTTCCAACTTGGAGATTTGTCGATGCTCCTCTGCTGCATTCTTCTCTGCTGCTGAGATGGATCCACGCAAGCTTTCGCATTGCCACGTGAGGTATGCAACCTGATCGTGAGAAGGCCCGTCCCCGTCGCCTCCACCATCTTGAAAGCTGGCCACTTCCCCCCGAACAGCTCTGTGCTGCTCCCGGATGGAGCGCAGCTCCAGCTCAGATGGCCTAAGGCCTGCTCGGTGATGTTCAGTCCGTTGCAGTCGGTCTCTCAGGCCCTGCAGCTCGCCCTGCAGCTCGCCCTGCAGCTCGCCGCGCTCGCTGTTCAGCTCTCCGCCCTGGTGCTGCCGCTGCCGCTGGCCTGCACTTTGGAGCCGATGCTGCAGCGCCTCTATTTGATCGTGCCTGGAAGAGACGCTCGCCTGCAGGTCCTTCAGGCTTTGCAGTCGGGCGTGCTCAGATTCGGTTTCCGCGACAGTGCTTGAACCATGCTGAGGCGCTTGTGGCTCTTCTGCATGTGTCGATTGCTCGCTCTCCTCTACCTCCTCTTCTTCCTCTTCTTCTTCCTCCTCTTCCTCCTCTTCCTCCTCCTCCTCTTCTTCTTCTTCCTCTTCTTCCTCTTCCTCTTCCTCTTCTTCCTGTTCTTCCTCTTCCTCTTCTTCCTGCTCTTCCTGCAAACTTCCTGCCTGCTCCTGGAGTTCCTGCTGTTCTGGCTCGTGCGACGCGCTTACCGCGAGGGATGAACCATTGGCACCTAAGCGACTGCAGAGAGCCTAATGACTTTTTGAGTCCTCCTGCATTAAAAGCATCATGATGCAGCCGTGTTACCAGCGCTGCTTGTTGTAGCAGGCTCAGCAGCAACTGCCTCCTGCTGCTGGACGAGTCATCGCGTTGCAGACATATGCCAGCACATATCCGGCATTCTGCCGCAGTCATGCAGATGAAGCTGCCAATCTGACGCTTGACAGATTTCGTCTACAACTGCTGGACATGTCCAGCCGAAGAAGCTTCGTCTGCCCACCTTGTGGGAACTGTTGGGCTTCTTCACCTCATAACAACAATGAAACGACATCCCTGACGGGAAGTGAACAGCAGTCCGGATTCATCAGAGTTGAGCATGCACGAATCACAACTCAGTTCCACTCGAAGTATGAGGTCACGATATTCGGCAGGCGCATGTTGTTGCGATGCCATGAGCTTTCCGTGCGGGCATGACCAATGTGCTAAGATAGCACATGCATGACATGATCTGGAGCGAAGTTGGCTTGCAGCTCTACTCTGGATGTCGCAAAGGCTGGTGTGCAAGCAGCAAGCGGTCAAAGTGGGTAGCAATAACAACACATCTCTAAACGGCAGCAAAATCATCGTCGATGCGCTGCACAATGCTTCTTGGTGATATTTTGTGGCTGTGCGTCTGCAATCTGCCCACTTTGAGGCACTGCATGCAGTCAAACACGGCGCAGAGTGCTGGCCGGTCCCTAAGATCGCCCTGTCTTAGTGGCACGAACACCATGCTGTGGCTTTGGGTGAGCAGTGGGACGTTGTTGACTGGGCCTGTGAGATCAGCCCGAATCTCGGCTGGAGCAAAACAAGCAGTGCCGTCATGTTGTCGCCACCAACGCCACCCGAAGCTGCCAAATCTGGTGCTAAGCAGTGATCCAGCAGCTCTTCCATAATGTTGGACAAAGGTCCTTCTGCCGCTGCATGTTTCTTCAAACGTTGGTTGACAAAGTCCACCACATCCTGGCTACTCATTGCCTCCCATATACCGTCACAAGCTAACAGTACGAAATCATCGCGCGCTTCCCGTTGAAAGTGTGTGACATCCGGTGTGGAACTAATGATCTGCTCACTCATGCGCAAGGCTGAGTTGCGCTTGTAGTCCAAATCACCGATTGTTCTAGAGAGATTCAGGTTTCCATTTACCCTGTGCTGGATAAATTTGCCGATCTGCTGTCGCTCTACGACGCCACCAGCCTTCTGAATCCGATCACGCTCGGCAGGAAGTGTTGGCTTGTGGTCTTCTGATAACGGAACGGCAAAGCCTTCACGTGACAGGACCGCCCTGCTGTCTCCAGCGTTGGCAACTATGAGCCGCTCTGACTGCACAAGGCACACGACAGCTGTGCAACCCACACGACGCGCGTCAGACAGCATCTTGCTGCCGTTGCGTGTCGCTCCCGTAAACGATTGGAGATAACTTTGCTCCTCCGGTCTGCAAAGCAGTTCATCCATTCCCTCAAAAGCCTTTCTCAAGGCAGCTTCAGGGTCTGCACGCGGGTGCCTCGCAATGGCCGATGGCAAGCGGTGCTGGCAAAAAAAAGCAACTTCACGGCCTCCATGCCCGTCAAGCACGGCAAATGCTGCAGTGTCAGCCCAGTCTCCATCCAAATGAGCAAAAGCAAAATGCGAATCCTCCATTCGTGGGCGCCAGCCCTGCATGGAGCTAAAGCCCCATGACAGCTGCTTCAAGCTGCAGTGCCCATTTCCACTGTCCTTGTGCGTCACAGCTGCGCCGGCTGCTTGGCCCATGGGGGCGAGGGGTGGGCCACGGACATTGCCGCAACAGGCCAGCACAAGCTTGACTTTTACGATCTTTTACCGCAATCAGCTGCAAGGCCGTCACACTGACACAGGCCAAACATGGGCGATCGACATCTAATTTGACTCTGACTGGCAGCTTTTTGCACATGGAGCTGTCTCTCGTGCTGCAGCGGATAAGAGCATGTGAACCCACAATTGGCCCGTCCTTGCAAAAGGACGGGTCTCCTTGATTGCACTGCAACGAGACTTGCTCAGCAAGCCTTGTTTTGTATTCTGATCATACAGCATGCATAAAATCCTGGGCGAATGTATGCCAGGAGCGCATTCCAACACCGAGTCATCTTGTTCTCCCCCGCAAGATGTTTCGCTAAACCAGCAATTGGCCTGCTAGCCTAGCCTCAATGTCTCAGGCACCTTGAAACGCATCATGAATGTCTGTAGTCTCACCAAAACAGGGACAACTCGCAACGAAACAGGAGCCCTGGGGTGCGCACCAAAACTTCTGCGGCAGAACTTGCAGCCGTGCTCCAGTCATGATACTCAAGTCGGTCCTGCCACGTTCGGGAATAACGGACGACAGAACCAAGGGCATGCCGGTGCTAGCTGCTAGCAAATGTGGCATAGGTTCTTCCGTTGAGAAAAGAGCAAGCGAGTCACCGCTACAGCGCATGTCTCTCCGTGGCAAATACCGGAGAAGGTGCCGGTCACTAGATGTCCGACACAGGCAGTTCCATTGTGTCTGTCTGTCTGTTTGTCCCTTCTGACTCTAGCCTGTCTTGACAGAATGCGAAGAGTGGGCCCTATTTTTTGGCTCGGCGGCTTCGTAAGATCCAGCCAGGTGCTGTTCGCCCGGCCTAGAAGAAGCTCCTTGCATTCTGCAAACGTTTGCTACTGCGTGTGATCTCTCTGAACTCGAGCAAAGGCAAGCTTGTCCAGCTTGGCACGCAGCTCAGCCGATGGTCCATCGGATGAATGTTCGGCATAGGATCATATGTCAGCAGGTCGTCTGCCGCGCAAGACAACAGATTTCCTGCCTCAGAACCAGATGCTTCGCTGTATGCGCTTTGAGCAGCCTGTTCCAAATCGAATCGGGCTTCGTGGATATCGTCCTGCAGGTCCGAATACATTCGGTAGGCGTAGTACGTGAACCAGCCTTGCACCATGCTTATGCGATCGACGGCCCGCTTGGCCAAGTGCGCAGCTTTTTCTGCACCCATGTTCTGCGCCAGCTCAATTGCTTCGTTGGCTTTTTCCTGGGCCTTCACGATTGCCTGCAGCTCATACGTTGGTGCTGGTGGGCACTCCAGCGCAAAAGGTGTGAACGAAGTTGCTCTGCCAGGCCCGTGCATCAACGACAAGATGCACACGACACGCGGAGGCTGTTATCAAACTCGCTAGGGATCCATTCATGCTTGAGCCGAATCTGTGCATCAGGAACGGAGTTTCGCAAATCATCAGCTGCTTTCGACACACGGGGACAAACAAAACGCCCAGCGACACGAGTCAGAATGCCGTGCGAGGGCCTGGCGATCCAAAAGCGATCGCGAAGTGCCCCCAGATGCATACTTGCGCACGACCTTGAGAAGGTTCGCTGCCGTAAAAACAATCACACTCTGAAATAAACTGCCCTGAGAACCACGAGCACTTGGCTTGCATGAGCTGTGAACGCCTCTCCTCCCACCACATCATCAGGAGCAACACCTCCTACGAGAAATCTGGGATGCCTCTGGAACAGCATGATCCACTTGTGCTGGCTGCACCAGGTCCTGAGTCTAAAGGCTCAACTGCAAGAGCATGGAATGCCAAAACGCTTTTGTTGCAATCCTCTTTGGCACTCCGCACCAAAAGAGGCAATGGTTCATCCGGGGCCGAGTGCCTCAAGCCTTGTTGCAGGGTAGACTCTCGGGTGCGCGTGTTCAACTCGGAACAGGCTCTGGCACTTGTCTTTCGTCATCAGCATCTTTTTGAACTTCGGGATGGGCTTGAAATAACCATGCCTGGGCTGGCACCAGTCACTACTCAAAACGAAGTGCGCGCCTGCAACTTTCCTGCTGAGCAGATCGGCTTAGCATCCGTTACAGCCTTCGCACGATCGCGTCGCAGGAATTCTTCACCTGCAAGCTGTCAGCAACGGCTCCCTGGTTCGTTCGTCTTCTTTCGACGATGCTGAACTTGCCCGGTTCTGGGCATGAAACAGAGTTTGTCCGTAGAATGTTGAAACCTGGGAGACCTGGACCGCTTCTTGGCTTGCCTGAAGACAGAAACTGCATAAAGCTGTGCTTGAGATGCCTCCAGCTCTGGAGCATCCAGCTACACGGTGTAAGGAACGGGCTGAGCTGGCCGAAGCAAGCCACAGGGCACCTCCTGTACGGAGCCATCGTCCATTTGCACACTCACGAGCAGAGATCGTCCGACGATGCCTTGGGCAGTTGAAAGGCTGTCTTTGTCTTTGCATTCGGGCACAGGCTCCAAGCTACTTGTCGACACTGCTGCAGAAGACCAAGTCCTGGCCAGAACACGGTGCAGAAGCGGAATAAGCCAATTGGCAACAATGGCTGCAAACATCACCAATCAATAAGTCAACACATGCTGCGGGCTCCGTCCATTCAGAACATCAACGTGCGCCCCGACACGCCGCAAGTGGTCATGTCGAGGATTTTTGTTTTGAGCCTGGCGCGCAGGTGTTGGAGGGGTTAGCCCTTGGTTTAGCTGACCTTCAGGCTCTGTAAATCTCCAGATAGGTATCAACACTTGCAAACCGCATCATAGCTGCGCAGCCTCGTGATGGTACATGTCATGCAGGGACTGTTCTTTCGGTTCAGCATCACCGCTATGACAAGCTTGTCAAAATAGTCACGAGAAATCCGCGCTCAGCCACCCTTATACACATGATCCTCCATGCTCCATCCCGCAAAGTAGCACCCACTACCTGCCGCGAATCGACCAGCCGGGCCTAGATTGCGATTGAAGTCTGTTCTTACATCTCTGAACTGGGCTTGACGGCCTCGGTCGAGGGAGGATCTCGCGCTTGCTTGTGTCCAACCCCGCGCTTTTTGGTTCCCTCTTCCTTCCCTCCGTCTTTCCTGCCTTCTAGCCTTCTTGCTTTCCCGCAACCCTGCCTTCCTGCCTGGTGCTTCCCCCGTAGCTTCAAAGAGCGACTCGAGTGCCAGGCTCACATCCAACAGTTTGCGCCAATCCCCTCTGGTGAGTTGCTCGTCGGTGAAGAACGTCCCGCAGCACTGGCACCCATGCCGGGATCCCCCTGTCGGAGAGCGTGTTCGGTCGACAGGCGGTTCAGCCATTGCACTAAGGCTTCTACACTGGATGCTATATTGATGTGACTGTCGCTGTGGCAAACGTTGGGCGACCAGTGAAGTCTGGCTAAGTCCGCTAGCTGCAGGATGGCTTCTGCTGCGGTGAGGGCGCGTGCTCGTTTGGGAAGTCTCTCTCCCACGTGCAGGTTTTCTTCCCCTGCAGGACTGTTGGCCCTGGCACGCATCAGGTGTGCTTCGGGTTCTGGGTAAAGGAGGATGTCCCCCAATGCGTTGTCTGCCGTGTGAAGGATGCCTGTACCCCCGGGGAGGTGCTCCGCCAATCTCCTGATTGTAATCAGGTGTGCTTCTAGATTGGCAGAGTGGTGTTGTGCTTGCCTGTTCCGCCGCCTATAAAAAAAGCTGCCCCCTGTGGAATCCCCCCGTGTCCAGGGGGTGTTGGAGGGTAGTGGTGTTGCTTGCTGGGATAGTGGTAGGGGTTGCTGTCGTGACTGGGTTGCGGGTGGAAACCTGGCCATGGGGTGGCTGGGCCGGTTGCGGAGGTGGTTGCGGTGGATGTGTTTCGGTTTGGTTGCTTCTCTCTTGCTTACTTGCTTCAGAGCTAGGGGGCAGCACCCCCCCCCCCCCGTAGGGGCTCCAG